GGGGGGTGAGGCCAACTCGGCGGCCGCCTCCAGGTCTAACCCCTGCGGAGCTCGACTCGACGGCGGCTTTGAGCTCGGCGAGCGCGGTGGGGTTGATGCCCCAGACAAGGTCGCTCGCCTTCGGCAAGGCCCGAGGTTAGCCGGAAACAGGCCGAGGCTGGCCGACATGCGCCGGATTGGCCGAGGTTCTGGGGGGGGGGCTCGCGCGGCGGCGGGGCGGAGTGCGCCAGTACGATCGCGCGATGTTCTCGGCGGCCGCCTTGGTCGCCGCGTACGGGTTGGTCGGCTCGAGCACGTCCCCCTCCTTACGGCTCGGCTCCTCGGAGTAGGAGGAGCCGTACACCTCGTCGGTCGATACGTGGATGAAGCGGCGGATGCCAGCCTTCTTCGCAGCCTCCACGAGGACGTGCGTGCCGAGGACGTTGTTCTCCGTGAAGGCGAACGAGTTGCCAAACGAGTTGTCCACGTGCGTCTGCCAAGTGGGCGCGCCGTGCGCGCGCGCGCGCGTGAGCGAGTGAGCCGCCCGCTGCGAGGGGCGCAGTGTGGCGGGCGTGGCGGGTAGATTAGGGGATGGGGAGGGCAGCCTGCGCGGCGGCATGGATGATGGTGTCGATCTGCTCGGTCTCGAGGACGTAGTTCATCAGGTCCGCAGAGAGCAGATTCCCCTTGACCATCCTGAAGTTTGGCTTGTCCTTGACCTGGTCGAGGTTGTGCAAGCTGCTGCAGTAGTCCATCTTGTCCAGACACACCACCTGCGCCGCCGCCGGGAGAGCGCCCGTCGGGTGGTGCCAAGCCGCGCCGGCGGCAGGGCACCCGGGCGCGGGCTGAGCACACCTTGTACTGTGGGTACTTCTCCACCAGGCCGATGACGACGTGAGACGCGATGAAGCCCGCGCCGCCCGTGACGAGAATGTTGGTCGGCGTGTAGTTTCCGACATCGACTTTTGAGGCCGGGCGCACGTGCCCGCCGGGGTGCGGCTTGTTCCCGTTTGCCGACATCCAGGTAGGGCGGTCGAGAGGCACAGAGTCAGGCGCTGCAAGGTTTCCAACTCGCCAATAGGGCGCGCATTTATTTCTCTTTTCGCGACATCATGGACGAGGGGGGGTGGAAGGGGGTGGGCAGTGCTATGCCACCTGCCTCGTGCGCACCTCTATTCTGCTCCGGAGTGACTCGCCACCGCCATCCCTGGGCCCACTGGGCAGTCGTGTGAGGGGCCGCCCCCTAGTGGGTCCCCCGACTGACCCGTAAACCAACTATGTTCGGAGCCTGGATAGGGTGTAGGCCGTTCGGAAGGTGGGTCGGGAGGGGATGCCGCTAGGAATAGTCTCCCCCGACCCCGCCCGCCCGCCCGCCCGCCTGCCCTGCCCGCCTGGCCGATAAGATCTCTTCACCTTGAGCACTTGAGCACTGGATAGGGTCGGTTCCGCATGGTACGGGACCCCTCGATCGTCTCGCCCTCCCTCACTGGTGTGTTCATTGGGGGGGGTCATAACAAACACGGTACAGGATCGAGGTGCACGCTGCCGAGGCAGTATCGTCCCCCCTCTCCCCGACGGCGATGGCGGTGTGACCGATCGAGCTACAAGAGGAGCTTGTTCAGCAGGATCAGGGGTGGGTCGAGCAGTTCTCACTTCCACAATGGGTGAGCTTCAGACCTCGGGCCTGCCTCCCCCTTCACCCTTCGGCTCGTGTGGATTCGAACCACCGCCGGGATGGATTCGTCGCCGGCGCGCGACACGGAGATGGGGAAACCGCTTCGCTCGCGCGGGAGACGCGCTAGCCGCGAACGGGGCCATGCCAGGCGAGTCGCCTGCGGCTGGGACGCCAGCCGAGACGGGTGCGGCGGCGGCGCCCGCGGTGGCGGCGCCAGGGTCGGCAGCGCCGGCGAACGCGCCCGGGACGGCGACGGGTATTTTTCGCTTCGCTGCGCGGCCTGGGAATAGGTAGGTAGGTGGGGTACGGAGCCTGGCGATTGGCGCCCGCAATAGGTAGGTAGGTAGGGCGTTTTGGTGCGAGTCAGCAAGACCCCATATCTGGGTAGGAGCCGGAACCCTGTGGGGCCTGGGCGACCCGCCAGACATCGGCAATTGCTCTCTCCGCCCCTGCCGCTAGAAGCCATGACGCGGCTGGACCAGGGTTCGGCGTGGCTCACGCTCCTCTCGACGGGCGCCACGCTCGCCAGGGTCCCTCTCCCCTCGTACTTGGCTGTCCCTGCCGCTTGCGTCGGGGTGGCATCTGCACTCGAGACTCTTGCGCCGGGCTTCTGGGAGCGGTTTGCCAGCGGCATGGGCGACGACGAGGAGGAGCGCGCGAGAGAATACGCAGCGCAGATTGTTGCCGAGTTCCTGGCTGCGCGATCGGACGAGCGACCTTCGGACGAGCAGATTGCCCGGCGCTACAAAGCTGCGATGGATGAGTGGAGGCAACTGCACGCTGGAAACCTGGAGGTCCGGTAGCAGTAGCCAGTACTGTAGTAGCACGATAGCAGCAGAAATGGGTTGGTATATACCGCAGTACTTGCAAAGAGGTAAATCTGAAGCCATTCGACATCAACCCGCCTCGCTACTCGCGCCTCGCGGCAAGATGTGCTGGTGGGGGGGCGAGACGGCAACGCCAACGTGTCTCGGGGCTCCCCGTCCCGCTCGCCGCCCACCTCCCCCCCACAAGCCGCCATGTGAAAGCGCACCCTCTTTCAGCGCAGCGCGGCCCCTCCCGCCCCGACAGTACGTTTCTTATGCCTTTTGCACGCGCTAGACGGTCGACTCGGCAAGTACGACCGGCGACAGCTTCTTGTGGACGCGCTTCTCATGGTACCGCTGCTTGGACTGCTCAATCTCCACCCAACGCGGCTTGTCTGGCACGAGGAAGGCGAGCGCCAGCTTGAGCAAAATGAGCGCGTGCTCACACACGACAGCGAGCCTACAGGTAGGAGGTGGGTGGTGTGAAGTACACGTTGGAATCTCGATGCCATCAAATATGTGGTCGCGAGCCAGAGAATGCGGTGCGAGACGTCGCGCTGCCTCGCCTCGCACGCGAGGCAATGCTCGAGGTTGTAGAGATCTTTGAGCCCGAACCCCGACAGCTCGTTGCGCGTGCTTGAGGGGCGAGGGGCTGGAGTGAGCGCGTGCGCGGTGGGGTGCGAGGTGACACGAAAAGGGAGGGCGGCGGGGAGGATGGGGGTGGGGGGGTGGGGGGGGTGGGGGGTGGGGGGCGAAATTTTCCACCCGCAGAGGGCGTCGATGAACGGGATGGAGACGGTCAGGTTCGGCGGCAAGTAGCGCCAAGCGGGGTAGTCTGGGCTGCCACCGATCGAGGCGTAGCGCTCGTCCACCTGCTGGCCGCTATTGGTGTAGTAGAATTTTACAACAAAACTCCCTCGCACGACACTGGGCACGGGACTGGCGCGCACTGGCACTAACACAGGCACACTACGGGAGCCGCCTAAGCGGCTCCTGCGAGGACGGCGAGGCACTTAGCTCCGTGCACTCGACCGCCCTCGCCGCAGGCAAGCTCATGTGGTGTGTAGAACACTCTTCGAAGCAATCAACAACCAATGACGCCAGCAGAGCGATCGGGAGGGGGGGGGGGGCTCGAGCGACGACGCGCTGCGCATGGCGGAGGAGCACGCCGCCGCACGGCTCGTGGAGCGTCCCGAGTGCCCTCCTCTCGCAGGACCCCCATCCCGCACATCCTCTCGTCCAGCCACGACACGACACGGAAAATGTGCACGAAAGAGGCAAGCGACGACGCCAATGCCGATGGACCGTCCACGTGTTTTGGGAGTCACGAATAAACTGGCACACGGGATGCTTTGGTGGGGGCATTGATTGCCACTGCGCACTGCCACTGCACACTGGCAGCGGCGTGACGCGTGTGGGGCGGTAAGACTTTGCGATGCCGATGGCGGCGGCTCGGAGTATGCAGGGCGTACATCAAAATCAAGGGGACTCGACGCTCGGGGTGTGGAGAGGCAACAGAGTTTATTTAATGCACAGTAAGAGCTGGTGGGCAGGTACTTCTAATGGACATGCTGACATGCGCGAGCGGCCCTACACCGGGCCGCAGCGGCGTGACACTCCACGTACCAATCATGCAAGAGCGGAAGCTGAGCACAGGAGTACGAGAAGAAGCAGGCAGTTCGGAGGTAGAACGAAAACGAGATCCCATGAAAGGTACATCATAGGCTGCAGATACTCTCTGTGTACACGATGAAACCATTCACCCCAGCGCTCGCGCATCAAGTCGGCGATCAGAGCGTTCATGCGTTCCGTGTCAATCTCGCCATTGCTGCGCCGACCCGACGCGTACATAGACGCTTCCCATTGCTGGCGGAGGAGAACCATCTCGCCGGGCTGCAGACGGGCGCAGCGAGAGTGACGAACTCCTTGAAGGGCGGCTCTTGAGTGTTGAGTCAAGGAGCTGGTCGATCAGGTTTATCCGAGACACGGCATCAAATAAATAAATAAACAAAGTGCAATGGAAAATCCAAAATCCAAATCGCAAACATAGAAACCCAAACACACACAGCCACGTGGCATAGGAGAGCAGGAGGTGAAAGGAGGTCAGCACAAGTCCAAGGACGCACGAGCGAGAAGCACAGCAGAGCAGACAGATGACGATCACCACCCAGCGCACGACCGCCAACTCTCCGGCGCAGGCCGCAAGAACCGAGTCCGGGGGCCGACGGTCGCGGCGCGCCGGCGCGGCGCAGTGGACGCAGCCCGGTTCGCAGCTTCGCGAGCTACGGGGGCGGCCATCGCAAGAAAAAGAAAAATTACAAAAGCAGCAATCTAAGCGCCAAGTGTGGCAGCCAACTGGCTGTGTGTCTTGTGAGCCTGCTTGTGTCTGTGTGTCGCTCGTGCGTGTCGTCATCATCTGTCCAGCGTCCACCCATACCGCGTTGGTGTCCAGTCCGAGCATGGAGCTGGCTGTTCTTCACCTTCCTACCTAACCTAACCTAAAGCGTGTGTGTTGTTTCATGGAGGCAACCGATGCGAGTCGACTGGTTTGTGTCGTCGTGGTTTCCTATCAAGAATACTCACTCCCTCAAACCCAGACGCGCAACGCACAGAACTGTGTGTGCTCACAGTCACACATAGTATGTGTGTGACTGTGAGCACCACATAGTCATAGACGAGAGACACACACACTAGAAGAACACACTCGCTTGACCGAGAGTCTCATATGCACATATTCTGAAAGGGCGCGAGGGCACAGGGGCAGGGGCTCCTTCCTAAGAAACCCCACGCCCGCCCTAGCAACCCAGAGTCCGTCCACTCGCGCTTGACGCACTCTCGCACGTGGATCCGCCATTCGCGCTGCTGTCTCTGGCCGCGCTAGCAGCAGCCGCGGCCACGGGCTGCGCCGGGGGCGGGGGAGGCAGGCTCCGGTTCAGCTCGCGAGCCTCGATCACAACGCCCTCGTCCGCAGCATCCGCATGTAACCGCTCACCCACCGGCTTGACGGCTTTGCGGGCACCGACCGGCGTCGCCTCCTCCTCCGCCTGCGCCGCCTCCTTCGCCTCCTCCTCCGCCTGCGCCGCCGCCTTCTCCGCGGCCGCCTTTGCCGGCTTCGCCTCATACGGGCTCGGAGAAGGCGGAGCGGGCGGAGCAGGCGGAGAACACCTTGGGCTCCTTGGACTCCTTGGCGTGCCGGCGGGCGAGATCATCGCGCGGAGGCTCCGGCTCAGGTCGACCTGGCCCTGGATGGACGCCTCGAGCCTCGCCTGGAGGTGAGGCAAGGTAAGGTAGGGTAAGGTGAACGTCTCGCCACACACAAGGTGGCGGGGCAATGGCCAGGCCAACCCTCGCCGTGGGCCGCTCGAGCGGGTCGAAGGCGAAGCACGCCTCGGCGAGCTGCGCGACCTCGGGCTAGGGGCCAGCCCCTCTCCCTTGCCCTCGGAACAGTGTGTCCGAGTCGAGGCGTGTGCTTGCCGGTCGACGGCCGCGCGCGGTTGTGATTGTGACGAAGGGTGTGCGCGGCCGTGGCGCGCCCGCCATACACAGGCTGCATAAAAAAAAGTGGGTGCCTTGCGCGGGAGGGGAGCGGAAAGGAGGAACCTCTTCCCAAGAGCACCACTCTTGGAGCGCCGCCACTACCACCCAGAGCGCTGCAAGCAGCGCCGGGAAATGACGATAGATAGACCACCGCGACGGCGAGCCGCCGCGGGCCCACAGGCAGGAGGGCTCGGAGCCGCGGCACCGGTCCGCGCCGCCAGCGGGGCGAGAGCACCAGCGTGTGTGTGTGTGTGTGTGTGTGTGTGTGTGTGTGTGTGTGTGGTCCCCAGCTATGGGCGTGTCCACGTTGGAGCCAGGTGTGGTGTGGACGCGAGAATAGCTCCGCCGTTCATGGAGGCAACCGATGCGAGTCGACTGGTGTGTGTCGTCGTGGTTTCGTATCAAGAATACTCACTCACTCACGAGAGCACCAGCCTACAACCTGCCGACATGGCAGTTGCGACGGCGCTTTCAACACACAACACACACACACACACACACGCAATGCTGGTCGAGCGCACCCAACGCGGCCAAAGGATATCCACCTCGAGAACCTCGAGAACTTGGACTTGAGTTACACCAATCCTCGCTACCCAACGCGGCCAAAGGATATCCAGAAAGAAAGAAGGCTCCCACGCCACTCGCGGCAATCCGCATCGAGGCCGCCCGTCGGCGCAGCAAAGGTACTGCGCACTTCTGGGCAGCGCCCAGAATGCAGGGAAGGCCTTGGCGCTTCTCGCCAGCCAGGCTGACTCGGCAACCGGCACGCGAGCCGACTGCGCGTCCCGAGCCCACGGATCGGCGCCATCGCACAGGTCCGCCAGCCGCCGCATAGCTCCAGAGAGGCCACTGGCGTTGTGCTGCACTGCCTGAAGGCGCTGCTGAGGCTCTGTTTCAGCTGAAGCTGCCCCGTGCGCCGCCGCGAGCACCGCGTAGTGGTCTCGCCCTCTGGAGAGCCCCAGCACGACCCCTCGCGGCCACTCGCGCCGTTGCAGCAGCTCCGACCCCGCCACTCCGGCTCCCGAGCGCGCGGCGAGCACGAGGAAGAGCATGCGCATGGGCCAAAATCCGTTACTGTAAGAAACTTTCTGGAGAGTTAGTATTATTATTTTGCGCGGCGCATGACGACGAGCGCTGAGGACGACGACGAGATCGTGGCGCGGATCCCCGTGGTCCTCGGCCCGGTGCGCGAGGGCGCCTCCAGCTGCCTGCTCCAGTACCCGCTCCGCCCGCGCTGGCGGCCGTACGACTTTGCTCAGCTCTCGGGCGCGAGGATCCGGCCAAAGCAGCACCAGATCGAGATGGACCTGCGGATCCCTGCGTACGACGGCGAGGAGGGCGAGCCGCCGCCCACCTGCCAGCTCACCTCCACCGTCGCCGCCCACAAGACGGCTTACGCAATGGGCCTGCTGCACGTCGGCGCCGGCGCCACCGGCACTGCGGGCTGCGCCGACGCGCTGGACGGCCTCGAGGCGTCGCTGCACCTGGCGCCGCTCGACGCGGTCGCGCAGATGCGGCCCACCTTCTCGCAGCCGCTCGAGGGCGCCGCGGACGGCGCCGACGCGGCGGCGAATCCGGCGGGCGGCGGCGGCAGGGAGGAGGGCGGCGGAGCGGAGGGCGGCGGCGGCGGCGGCGGCGGGTCGGAGGAGTCGGTGATGCCCGTCTTTAAGCGCGCGGAGACGGAGAAGGAGGAGGAGGCGCGGCGCTCCTCGCACGCGTACTGGCTGGCGCAGCGCGAGGCGGAGCCGTGGCGAGAGCTGCGGATGCACGGCGGGGGCGACGCGGCGACGGTGGAGGTGCGCAGGCAGATGTTTGGGCTGCCCTCGTGAGCGATTCTAAAATCAGGTCTGGCACTGGGCGGACATCGGCCGTCCCTCAGCGCTTCCAGCCTGCCCGCATGAGTTTCCTCAATTGGCTCGAATTTTGCTAAGTAGAAAAAAGAACAGCGCCCCCGCCAGCCCCGCTTTGGACGAGACGAGGGGGGGAGCAGGACGTTGCGGAGATCAGCAGGAGGATGTACGAAGAGATTAGGAGCAGCAGGGACCCGAGGGACCATGTGGAAGACGGCTAGTGCTAGTCCCCCATCGGGAGGACGACCCCGGCTAGCCGCCGACCACACCCACAAAGAACCCTGCACAAAGACCGCAGGGCGGGGACCTGTTCCTTTTTACCCATCTCCTAGTAGAGGTGTCCGTTTTATTTATTTATTTCCCCGCGCTCGAACGTCGCGAAGCCAGGCGGCTGCAGGCAGCTCCCCGCTCGAAGCCGTGGCGGCGCAGGCTGCCACCGCTGCGCGGGCGCCCCGAGCGGCGGCGGAGGGCCGCCCAGGCCACCACCAGTGCCCCTCCCACCGGCGGCGCGGCGGCAGCGGCGCCGACCGCCCCTCCATCAGCGGTGGCGCGACGGCTGTCGTCGGGGCGCCGGCAGGCCGCCGCGCGCAGAGGGTGCCACCGGACCGGCCGACGCGCGCCCGGCGGAGCCTTCGTCGTCAGAGCATAAGCTCTTGGTGTGCGACGAGACGAGTTTTTCGCCATCGCAGCGAGCAGCAAGCCACTCGCCGCAGCAGCCGGAGGCATCGCCGCAGCACCAGCCGCGCCGCGGTCCCGCACCCGTCGACGAAGCTCCCCCCGCGGAAGACCGCGCGTAGCGACGCCTTGCCGATCGAGAGGAGCGCGCTCGAGGCTCGCCCACCTACTGCCCCTGAGAGTTGGTTATTGAGTGGGATCAGCTCCCCCCCTTGGGTTCGAAGCCGCCACGACCTCACACCCAACATCACAGGCGGGATCAGAGAGAGACTCCGCACCGGACACCGCCCGGGCACAGACTCCCTACCCGGCACCTCAACCTCTCACAGTCCAGCGCATAGCGCCATACGACGTATTTTCTTGTCAATAACAAGGCTGTTTTACGGATAAATTGCTCCGCTCTCGCGCTGCCCGCCACTGAAAACGCGTATCAATGAACATGATGCACGCGATGAGCGACGGGCCGGCCTTGAAAATCCCGCAGTTCGCCGTCGCGGGGCCCAACCACACCTTCGGTCCGACGCGGATCGCCCACCTCGCCGACAATGTGAGCATCATCGCGATGCGGTTCCACAAGGTGGGCTCGTCGTCCTTCAAGAATGCGATCAGCTACGTGCAGCCGAGCCACATGGACCACGACACGCTGCTCGTCTACCGGCTCGGCGGCCTGGCGGGTCTGCGCTGCCTGGCCGCGCCGGCGGCGCCCAAGGTGGTGTTCGTCACGCTGTTTCGCGAGCCCGCGGCGCGGATCCTCTCGGCGTTGTACTTTTACGAGGGCTTCACGTGCGGCGACCGCTTGGACGACTCGCGCCGCAAGCGGTCGGCGGCGCTCAACGAAGAGCTCAACTTTGCGCACCGCTGGCTGCGCGAGACGCCCTGCGCTTCGTACACGGCGGCCAACGTGAGCCGTTCGATGCGAGGGCTGGCGGTGGCCAACATCGGCGAGGAGTTGGGCGGCGGCATGATCCTCGACGAGTACTCGCACTACTTCAACGTCAGGAGGAAGGCGGACGTGGCGCCCACGCTCGCGATGCTGAGGCGCAGCTTCCTCGTCGGCACCACCGAGGACATGCCCGGTGCGGACGCGGGCCCTCCCTGTTGACTCCGTTGCTCCCTCACACCCATATTATAGAGAGCTCCTCGCCTCCCCTGCTTCCTTACGCTCCCTTGGCTTCCATTCGCTCCTTTGCTCCCTTGCTGCTCCCTTGCTGCTCCCCTCCGACTGGCCGCTCTCACGACGCACAATTCGTGCGCTCGCAGGCCTCGTCGACCGGATCCTCACCCTCGTACCGCACGGGCCCGCACGCTCCAAGGTGTGTATGTGAACTTCCTACCTCCTCCCACTCCCCCACTTTACTTTCTACTGACCGTTGCTTCGATCCTCACCCTCACCCTCGTACCGCACGGGCCCGTACGCTCCAAGGCGGTGGCGATGATGCGCGGAGAGCTGTCGGCACGCCAAAAGTCGGGCCGCGCGCGCTCGGGCGGGCTCGGCGCCCCGGCGGAGGGCTCACCCGGCGCCAACCGCACGCTCGGCGGGCAGTCGCAGCCGCAGCAGACGCTGCAGCCGCCTCCGCCGGACGGCCGGGCCATGTACTGCTCGGCCCGTGACGTGACCAAGGCTGTGCTCGCCGACATCGCCAAGCTGGCCGGGCACGACGTCGATCTCTACGAGGGCGCCAAGGTCATTGCCGCCGAGCAGCAACGGCGCTTCCTCCACCACGGCGGCCGCGACGGGAACGAGCGCAGCGGCCGCGACATGAACGAGCGCAGCGGCCGGCCCGGCCCGAGCGCCGCCGCCGCCGATGAGGCCCACGCCGCCTCCTCTGTGCCGGTTGTCGAGTTCAACGCTACCTACCGCAGCCGGGGCGAGTGCCGCGCGGGCGAGGGCATACGGCCTGGCAGCTACCCCGCGGAGGACGTCGACGATCCAATGGTCGGGCGTCAGCATATATCGCGATATATGTCCCCTCCACAACATCGTGGGCGTTTGAGCGGTATTTGAGGAGCACTCTGAAGCTCGGCCGGGTGGTCTGCAGACCCCCAAATGCCATGCAGCCAAACTTCAGGCGTTTTTTCGATTTTCGAGAATAACCGGAGTTGAGGGCCGGGAGAGATAGGAAGAGGCACCTTCTCCCCAAAATAACAAACATGTCGCGATTATGTGTGTGCGCCCAGGGGTGGTATGGTGTGGACGCCTTTTTTTTCGCGTCCCCCCCCGCCCTCCCATAGGGCAGGATTAGCGCTAGCATATGCGCCTAGTGCGCACTGGGCCCACATAGGTGTCCCACCTGCTCGAGAATGTGCGGTGCCCGGATGCTAGTGCTTGAGAAGGCACCAACAACGCGGCACGGCCCCGTTTGGCTGTCTGGGAGATCCCTGTCTTAGCACACACAGTGAGTCACTCTGCATCGCTGGGGCGGTTCTCCCCGCCTCGGGTACCCAGGTGCGATTGTGTGTGTGCGGGAGTTGGTTTGTCGGAGGGAGGGGCAGGCTGCTCACCCACGTGCATCTCGGGGCAGTGCTTGCTTGCACTTTGAATGGCCGTGGGGCTCCTACCCGTGTCCGGGTGTGGAGATGCGAGGGTCGCCCCCCCCCTAGGCCCCTTACCCCACATGCCACAACTTTGTGGTGTGTGGAGAACCTTACCTGACCTACCTTACCTTTTCGCGTGTGCGCAGTCTGCTGACGCGCTCGCTGCCTCTGTGGCTGTGCGCTCGACCGGCTCGTGCCTGTGTCGCTTTTCACTTTTGTGCGAGACACTTGGAGTCGTTTTCGCGTGGGAGAAATTACCTCGCTACGCGGTCTACCTTGGTGGCGGGTACTTTCTCCATAAGATTCATAAGGTACACATGTACATGTACATGTGCTCCCACTATTCAGCCCGGAGAAGCACAAACACGTGTGTCTGACTTCTACTTGGAGCACTTGGAGTGCAGTCATTAGCCTCACATCCAGGGCCGGGGAGCTAAGAAGCGCACCCAGCGGGCCGGATGGGGATCGGGTTGCGGGCAAGAGACAGAGCCCTAGCCCGGGGGTGCGCGTTCGCAGGGAAAGGGCCTTAAAGTAAACCTGAAGTAAACACGGGTCTCCGAGGGTTAGCTCCGCGCTCCGGGTTTCCCCTAGCAGCAGACCGCCCCCTCTACTCGGAGCTTATATAATGAACACCAGACATGAACACGACACGCACTCTCATACGCCTTCCCCGCTCAGGGCCCCTTCGCGCGGGGTCCTCATCCTCACTCCGGAGGAGGCTCCCCTCTCCTCTGAGTTCTTCCTCTTGTTCGCCTTCCGATGACTTTTACTTCTTTCTCAATTTCTCGACTCTACAGCACGAAGTGCTGCGCGATCGGGGTTCGCCCGGGGTTTTTCCTTTCTTTTTTTGCACAACACTCCAGTCCCGTGCCCAGTGTTGTGCGAGGGTGCTTGGTTGTAAAATTCTTTTTTTGGGCCCTGTACACCCGGATTTCACATGAAAGTTCTGGCAGACTTCTACCTGCCGAACCTCGTCCGTCCGCCACGTAGCAGACGATGTCGGCAACACCACAAGAGCCCGTCGCAAGCCGCGATCCCAAACGCGGCAGAGCCACACAGCCCAGGATACTGGTCGTCGCACGTCGGCACCGGCGCCACGTGGGCGTGTTAGTCGGCGGGCCGCATACACATACGTCAATCCAGATGTACGTACTTTTAGCTTACTGGGAGAAAAGGGAGAGGGGGTTGTGCCCATCTACAGCTTGGAGGCCGTGCCGGCCGTAGGGTCCGCATACAGCGCGTCGAGGACGGCCTGGTAGCGCTTCTTGAGGTCGTTGCGCTTCATCTTGAAGGTTGGCGTGAGCATGCCGTTGTCGACGCTCCACGGCTCGCCCTCGAGGTGCAGCTTCTTGATCCGCTCAAACCCCTTGAGCCCCGCCTAGAGAAGAAGAGATGCGCGGCTCGAACAAGAGAGACACCGGCCGCCTTGAGGCGCGGCAGCTTGAGGCCAACCTCCGTCGACATGGCCGCGATCTGCTGGCTGATGGCCTTGTGCAGCCTCGCCGCCGCGGCGGGCTCGCGCAGCACCTCGGCCACCTTGGCCGGGGCGGCGGCGGCGGCGGCCCAAGCGGCGACCTCTTCGGCGTCAGGCACTGCGACCGCGACAAGGTAGGACTGGAGCGAGTCGCCTAGAGGGTAGGAGGGGCTATGAAGGGGAGGGGAGGGGAGGGGAGGGGAGGGGAGGAGGGGAGGAGGGGAGGAGGGGAGGAGGGGAGGGGAGAAGAGGAGGGGAGAAGAGGGGAGAAGAGGGGAGGGGAGGGGAGGGGAGGGGAGGGAGGGAGGGAGGGAGGGAGGGAGCGAGTCGCCGTACACAAACAGCTGCGCGAGCAGCGGGCAGCGCAGCAGCACCTATTCACAGCTCTTCTATTCACAGTACACAAACAGCTGCGCGAGCAGCGGGCAGCGCAGCAGCACCGTCTCGATCTTCTCCGCGGCGACGTACTCGCCTATCTCCTCCGGCTGGATTCGGGGACCGGGTGGGTAGGGTGCACGTGCCACCTCGGCGCGCGGGTCCGCCCTGCGCGAGCTTGAAGAGTACTTACATTAATTACGCACAAGAAGGAATTAATTCACTCATTGTAGTCTCCTGAGCCAGCTTGAAGATGTTCTTCTTCCGGTCGACGATGCGCAAGCACCCCTCGGTCGTCCAAGCCCCAATGTCGCCCGTGTGGAACCAGCCGGCGGCGTCGAACGCCTCGCGCGTCTTCTCCTGTTCACAGCTGCGGGTGTGAAGAGACGCCGTTCACAGCCCGTACCTTGTAGCAGCCCCGCGCGTCGTCTCCTCCATCCTGTAGTAGCCCCCAATCTCGGGCAATCTCGGGTAATCTCGGGTAATCTCGGGTAACCTCCATCTTGTAGTAGCCCCCAAACACGCACGGGCCTCGCACGCACACCTACGAGCTGCCGCGTGAGATTCTCCGAGATTACCCGAGATTGCCCGAGATTGGCACTGGTCTGCAGCTCGCGTGGCGGAGTACGAGGGGTGCGATTGCCGGGACTACGGCGGACTACGGCGGACTACAGCCGAGTGCGTCCTCTCGAGCGGACTTGGTCGACAAGAACACGTACTCTGACTCTAGGCGCGCACACCTCGCCGCTCGGCGGGAGATGCGGGGAGATGCGGGGAGATGCGGGGGGAGACTCTAGGCGCGCACACCTCGCCGCTCGGCGGGAGATGCGGGGAGATGCGGGGAGATGCGGGGGGAGGCTCTAGGCGCGCACACCTCGCCGCTCGGCGGGAGATGCGGGGAGATGCGGGGAGATGCGGGGGGAGGCTCTAGGCGCGCACACCTCGCCGCTCGGCGGGAGATGCGGGGAGATGCGGGGAGATACGGGGGGAGGCTCTAGGCGCGCACACCTCGCCGCTCGGCGGGAGATGCGGGGAGATGCGGGGAGATGCGGGGGGAGGCTCTAGGCGCGCACACCTCGCCGCTCGGCGGGAGATGCGGGGAGATGCGGGGAGATGCGGGGGGAGACTCTACGCGCGCACACCTCGCCGCTCGGCGGGAGATGCGGGGAGATGCGGGGAGATGCGGGGGGAGACTCTAGGCGCGCACACCTCGCCGCTCGGCGGGTCGGCGGCGCTAGAGTAGCCCATCTCACTCACGTCCTGCAGCTTGAGCTCGCAGCACAGGGCGGGCATGCCAACGTGGAAGTTGGTCACGTCGTCTGGGTTCGAGGCGGGGTGGGGGGGGGGGGTAGGGTAAGGTAAGGGTACTACCGCGAACCCCCCCCGCCCCACCCCTCCACCCCCCCTCCCCCCCTACCCCTTAACCCCGCGTTGCGACCCTACCCCTACCCCGCAAAGAGTCGGAATCCTGGGTGGCAGATCGTCGCCGCCGCAGAGGTCTCGGTAAGCCCGTACCCCTCGATGAACTGCGCGCCTGTTCACAGCTGCAGGTGTGAAGAGACGCCGCTCACAGCCCGTACCCCTCGATGAACTGCGCGCCTGTCCACAGCTGCAGGTGTGAAGAGACGCCGCTCACAGCCCGTACCCCTCGATGAACTGCGCGCCTGTCCACAGCTGCAGGTGTGAAGAGACGCCGCTCACAGCCCGTACCCCTCGATGAACTGCGCGCCTGTCCACAGCTGCAGGTGTGAAGAGACGCCGCTCACAGCCCGTACCCCTCGATGAACTGCGCGCCTGTCCACAGCTGCAGGTGTGAAGAGACGCCGCTCACAGCCCGTACCCCTCGATGAACTGCGCGCCTGTCCACAGCTGCAGGTGTGAAGAGACGCCGCTCACAGCCCGTACCCCTCGATGAACTGCGCGCCTGTTCACAGCTGCAGGTGTGAAGAGACGCCGCTCACAGCCCGTACCCCTCGATGAACTGCGCGCCTGTCCACAGCTGCAGGTGTGAAGAGACGCCGCTCACAGCCCGTACCCCTCGATGAACTGCGCGCCTGTCCACAGCTGCAGGTGTGAAGAGACGCCGCTCACAGCCCGTACCCCTCGATGAACTGCGCGCCTGTCCACAGCTGCAGGTGTGAAGAGACGCCGCTCACAGCCCGTACCCCTCGATGAACTGCGCGCCTGTCCACAGCTGCAGGTGTGAAGAGACGCCGCTCACAGCCCGTACCCCTCGATGAACTGCGCGCCTGTCCACAGCTGCAGGTGTGAAGAGACCCCGCTCACAGCCCGTACCCCTCGATGAACTGCGCGCCTGTCCACAGCTGCAGGTGTGAAGAGACGCCGCTCACAGCCCGTACCCCTCGATGAACTGCGCGCCTGTTCACAGCTGCAGGTGTGAAGAGACGCCGCTCACAGCCCGTACCCCTCGATGAACTGCGCGCCTGTCCACAGCTGCAGGTGTGAAGAGACGCCGCTCACAGCCCGTACCCCTCGATGAACTGCGCGCCTGTTCACAGCTGCAGGTGTGAAGAGACGCCGCTCACAGCCCGTACCCCTCGATGAACTGCGCGCCTGTTCACAGCTGCAGGTGTGAAGAGACGCCGCTCACAGCCCGTACCCCTCGATGAACTGCGCGCCTGTCCACAGCTGCAGGTGTGAAGAGACGCCGCTCACAGCCCGTACCCCTCGATGAACTGCGCGCCTGTTCACAGCTGCAGGTGTGAAGAGACGCCGCTCACAGCCCGTACCCCTCGATGAACTGCGCGCCTGTCCACAGCTGCAGGTGTGAAGAGACGCCGCTCACAGCCCGTACCCCTCGATGAACTGCGCGCCTGTTCACAGCTGCAGGTGTGAAGAGACGCCGCTCACAGCCCGTACCCCTCGATGAACTGCGCGCCTGTTCACAGCTGCAGGTGTGAAGAGACGCCGCTCACAGCCCGTACCCCTCGATGAACTGCGCGCCTGTTCACAGCTGCAGGTGTGAAGAGACGCCGCTCACAGCCCGTACCCCTCGATGAACTGCGCGCCTGTCCACAGCTGCAGGTGTGAAGAGACGCCGCTCACAGCCCGTACCCCTCGATGAACTGCGCGCCTGTTCACAGCTGCAGGTGTGAAGAGACGCCGCTCACAGCCCGTACCCCTCGATGAACTGCGCGCCTGTCCACAGCTGCAGGTGTGAAGAGACGCCGCTCACAGCCCGTACCCCTCGATGAACTGCGCGCCTGTTCACAGCTGCAGGTGTGAAGAGACGCCGCTCACAGCCCGTACCCCTCGATGAACTGCGCGCCTGTCCACAGCTGCAGGTGTGAAGAGACGCCGCTCACAGCCCGTACCCCTCGATGAACTGCGCGCCTGTCCACAGCTGCAGGTGTGAAGAGACGCCGCTCACAGCCCGTACCCCTCGATGAACTGCGCGCCTGTCCACAGCTGCAGGTGTGAAGAGACGCCGCTCACAGCCCGTACCCCTCGATGAGCGGCGCGCCTGTCCACAGCTGCAGGTGTGAAGAGACGCCGCTCACAGCCCGTACCCCTCGATGAACTGCGCGCCTGTCCACAGCTGCAGGTGTGAAGAGACGCCGCTCACAGCCCGTACCCCTCGATGAACTGCGCGCCTGTCCACAGCTGCAGGTGTGAAGAGACGCCGCTCACAGCCCGTACCCCTCGATGAACTGCGCGCCTGTCCACAGCTGCAGGTGTGAAGAGACGCCGCTCACAGCCCGTACCCCTCGATGAACTGCGCGCCTGTTCACAGCTGCAGGTGTGAAGAGACGCCGCTCACAGCCCGTACCCCTCGATGAACTGCGCGCCTGTTCACAGCTGCAGGTGTGAAGAGACGCCGCTCACAGCCCGTACCCCTCGATGAACTGCGCGCCTGTCCACAGCTGCAGGTGTGAAGAGACGCCGCTCACAGCCCGTACCCCTCGATGAACTGCGCGCCTGTTCACAGCTGCAGGTGTGAAGAGACGCCGCTCACAGCCCGTACCCCTCGATGAGCTGCGCGCCTGTTCACAGCTGCAGGTGTGAAGAGACGCCGCTCACAGCCCGTACCCCTCGATGAGCGGCGCGCCGATCGCGACGCGGAGAAAATCCTTGACGTCGGCGGCGATCGGCGCGGAGCCGCAGAGCATCTTTGCGCATCGGTCAAGCCCGAGCTGCCTCCGAACCTTTGAGAAGGCGGGGAGATAGGGGGAGATAGGGGGAGATACGGGGAGATACGGGGAGATACGGGCCGATACGCGGGCAGATACGGGCGGATACGCGGGCAGATACGGGCAGAAACGGGGAGAAACGGGGAGAACCTTTGAGAAGATGAGCGCGTCGTAGAGGCGGTGCTCGCCCGAGCCGGTCGCATGCAGCCGCTGCAGCTTCGCGTCGAGCGCCTTGAAGAATAGCTTGCCGGCAAGCCCGCCCTTGGCCTACAACTCGCTGTGAACAGCGTCTCTTCACACCTCCAGCCGTGAACAGCCCGCCCTTGGCCTGCAGTGCTGAGTACGCCGACATCGGGGCGGGAGGACGGTCTTGTGCAGCGTCTTCAGAGCACCGCAAGTGAAGCCGAGGGGGTACGAGTACAGTGAATACAGCGGGATGCGGCGGAGTACAGTTGAACGCGTGTCCTACCGAGCGCTGGTTGGCGGACAGGAATCGCGTCTTCCGCTTCTAGGTCCCTTTTGCCCTCGCGCCGCCGACGATCTTGTCGTGGATGCGGTTGTACAGCCGCGGGACGGAGACAAAGATCGTCGGCCGCAGGGCTTGCAGGTCGTCGAGGATCTTGAGGGTGTCTCCCTGGTAGAAGCCGACGGCGGCGCCTAGCGTGACGACCGGCGCGTTCGTCCGCCGCCGAATTCTTTTCTTCCACGGCGGCGCCTGGGCGTGAGGATTAGCCGTCGAGGGAGGGGCGGCCGAGAGGGCGGGGATGTGCTTTCACGGCAGAGCGGCGGCGTCGGTGTGAAGCAGTCCGCTTCTGGAGCGAGTGAGCGTTGTGAGTCGATGACACTCCATACTGCTCCACACGCGGCTGAGTAGTGTGGCACATGTCCATGTCCATGTCCATGTCCATGTCCATGTCCATGTCCATGTCCATGTCCATGTCCATGTCCATGTGCATGTGCATGTGCATGTGCATGTCCATGTCCATGTCCATGTCCATGTCCATGTCCATGTCCATGTCCATGTCCATGTGCATGTGCATGTGCATGTGCATGTGCATGTTGCCGCGTACCGCGGAAGAGGCAGAAGTTCATCACGACCGTCTCGAAGATGTGCGCGAGCGGGAGGTAGGAGATGTGCACCTCACGGGGGGAGATGTGGGGGAGATCTGTTCGAGATGTGCACATCGCGGGGGGAGATACTGCGGAGATCTGGGGAGATGTGTGCACCTCACGGGGGGAGATACTGCGGAGATCTGGGGAGATGTTTGCACCTCGCGGGGGGAGATGTGGGGGAGATCTGTTCGAGATGTGCGCCTCACGGGGGGAGATGTGGGGGAGATCTGTTCGAGATGTGGGGAGATACTGCGGAGATCTGGGGAGATGTGTGCGCCTCCTGAGGCCCGCCCGGGTCGTAGCTGAAGACGGAGATAGAGGGGTACGACGCCATGCCGACGGCGGCGAGCAAGTTGCCGTGGGTGAGCATGGCGCCTGGCCGCAACGTTCAAAGCACTCGGTGTCGAGCCCGCCCTCTCCGACGCGCTCGACTCTAGTCTGTGACCCCAGCGTCTTGGGGCGGCAAGAAGGCGCCGGGCGGCGTTCGCGGCTAGGTGTGCTCTCGAGTTAGGTCTAGGGTTTAGACGCGATGTGTCGAGATCTGGACGAGCTAAGCCGTGTGTGCTGCTCCTGTGGGTCCGCTGCCTGACTAGTCGCTCTCTGCCAGCACGGCGCCTGACCCGTGGGCCGTGCCGTGGGACTCGGCGCTGCCTGTCTGACTAGTCGCTCTCTGCCTGCCTGTCTGACTAGTCGCTCTCTGCCTGCCTGCCTGACTAGTCGCTCTCTGCCTGCCTGTCTGACTAGTCGCTCTCTGCCTGCCTGTCTGACTAGTCGCTCTCTGTCTGCCTGTCTGACTAGTCGCTCTCTGCCTGCCTGTCTGACTAGTCGCTCTCTGCCTGCCTGTCTGACTAGTCGCTCTCTGCCTGCCTGTCTGACTAGTCGCTCTCTGCCTGCCTGTCTGACTAGTCGCTCTCTGCCTGCCTGTCTGACTAGTCGCTCTCTGCCTGCCTGTCTGACTAGTCGCTCTCTGTCTGCCTGTCTGACTAGTCGCTCTCTGCCTGCCTGTCTGACTAGTCGCTCTCTGTCTGCCTGTCTGACTAGTCGCTCTCTGCCTGCCTGTCTGACTAGTCGCTCTCTGCCTGCCTGTCTGACTAGTCGCTCTCTGCCTGCCTGTCTGACTAGTCGCTCTCTGTCTGCCTGTCTGACTAGTCGCTCTCTGTCTGCCTGTCTGACTAGTCGCTCTCTGTCTGCCTGTCTGACTAGTCGCTCTCTGCCTGCCTGTCTGACTAGTCGCTCTCAGCCTGCCTGTCTGACTAGTCGATCTCTGCCTGCCTGTCTGACTAGTCGCTCTCTGCCTGCCTGTCTGACTAGTCGCTCTCTGCCTGCCTGTCTGACTAGTCGCTCTCTGTCTGCCTGTCTGACTAGTCGCTCTCTGCCTGCCTGTCTGACTAGTCGGCCTCTGCCTGCCTGTCTGACTAGTCGCTCTCTGCCTGCCTGTCTGACTAGTCGCTCTCTGTCTGCCTGTCTGACTAGTCGCTCTCAGCCTGCCTGCCTGACTAGTCGCTCTCTGCCTGCCTGCCCGTTCTCTCGACTGCCCGTGTGCGATGTGATCTGGGCCGGGGGCTGTGCTGTGAGCGTGGCGCCCTTTGGGTCGCCCGTCGTGCCAGAGGTGTAGCAGAGGTAGGCGAGGTCTGCTGGCGACGGCTCCGCCAGCGTTCCGAGCCTGCGTCGTGGAGCCGCCGGCATGAGGGCGCGGGAGGAGAGCCTTGTGCGGCGTAGTCAGAGCAGCGCGTGAATACGAGCGGCCGGAGTACGGTGAGTACCAGCGGACTGCAGCGGAATACGGCCGAGTCCGTGTCCTACCGAGCGCTGGTTGAGAGAGACAAGACCACGTCTTCCGCTTCTAGTAGACGGTGGATACGGCGGAATGCGGCGGAGTCCGCGTCCTACCGAGCGCTGGTTGGGAGAGACAAGACCACGTCTTCCGCTTCTGGGGCTCCGAGATATGGGGAGATACGGGGGAGATGTGGGGAGATCTTCCGCTTCTAGGGCTCCGAGCAGGCTGAGGTGCGAGCGCCCCACGCTTTCCAGCTCGCCGAGCGTGAGGACCGACAGGCCCTTTGCCGTCGCGGCGCGGCGGAGCTCGGCGGGCAGACTGCCTACTCTCGCGTGATCTCGCGTGATCTCGCCTACTCTCGTGTGCGATCTCGTGTGAGCTCGGCGGGGCGGATCTACCAGAGATGAGGACGGTGGCGAAGGCGGTTGCGCCGTCCGAGAGCAGAACCTTGGAGAGAGGGGAAGGCTTGGGATGAGGAGGGGATGCCAAGCAGCAGTCCGTCCCGTGTTCCTCGCGAGTCGTGTCCATGCTCATCTCGCCATACCAGCGGGAGTGCGGGTTCGAACAGAGGCTGCGGCGCCTTGAGCTCCGTAGCGGTGCACAGCACTGTCGGCATCGTCGTCTGGCGCTGGATGTAGCCCACCGTCTCGGGTCCCAGCGTGTCGTACATCGGCACGACGACCACGTTGGTCTTGTACGCCGCGAGCGCGCACACCATCCAGTCGCGGCAGTTCTTGAGGAAGAAGCCGAGGAAGCGCTTCCCGTCTCCGGCGCGAGGCACCAAGCTCAAGTGCCACAGCGCCGCCGCGACTGAGTCGACGCGCGCGCTCACCTGCGTGTACGTCTGCCACTCGTAGCTCCCGACGCGCCCGTCTTCGCGCACCCGGCTGCCAAAGCACGGCTCCGTCGGCCGCAAGAGGAGGCCGCCGCGCGTAAAGAGCTGGTACGCGTTGGCGTATTCGCCGTCGATCGGCTTGGCAACGAGCTCGTGCGGCGAGAGGCTGTTGCGCAGCACGAGGCCCTCGCCGGGTGCGGAGCCCACCGGCGTGACGTATCCCACGCTCGGGTCGAGACCGACCCGGCGCTTGTCCTCCATGTTGGTCGCGAAAGATTTTCCCGCGATACACATTTTCAATGTGCTCTCTCTCGAGGTTCTCGAGGTGGATATCCTTTGGCCGCGTTGGGTAGCGAGGATTGGTGTAACCCGAGCCACGGAGGCGTGTTTTCTGACGGCCGACCGTCAGTGCACGGAGTTGCCCCTTCTCCGACTGCCCCGGCTAGTTCACGAGTTTCGCGGGTGTGAGGCTGCGGGGCTGATAGAGCAGGCCGGCTGCGGCTCCTAATGTACCTCCACTTTTGGGTGGCGGTCGCGCGCTGCCGACGGCGCTCGCCGGCGCTACGGCGCTCGCGGCGCGCTCGTGGCGTTCAGGGCGGCTCCACACGCACACACACACACACACACACACACACACACACACACACACACACACACACACACACACACACACACACACACACACACACACACACACACACACACACACACACACACACACACACACACACACACACACACACACACACACACACACACACACACACACATGCACAGACACACAGCCCCTTCCCCTCCCCCCTCAAGGGCGAGGACACGCACAGGCCGCACCTCTAGTGAGGCCCGCATAGTATGTGGGAGACTCGTGCCGCCGCCCCTGCCACCCCTGTGTCAGTGTGCATGTGCGAGAGACTGCCAGCGACAAGCTGGAGGCAGGTCGCTAGACTGAGATGAGACCGCCAGTGGATGTGGGAGTCCACCGCGCACCGCGCTGCGAGCCTGTCGTGTCCCTTGTCAGGAGCAGGAGAGCCCCACCTGTCCCCCTGATCGTCCTTCCAAAATCCTGCTCGTGCAGGTGGGGACCTTGTCCTCGTCCCATCCCTCGTTTGGCGTGTCTGTTTTCTTTCTTTCTTTATTTTCAATGTGAACGTTCATCGTGCTCACGCCTTCTCGTGCGCCACGCCGATCGGAGACTGGGACGTGAGCGCAGTCACTGACATGATGGGTCTATTCCACAACATCTCGTACTTCAACGAGGACATCTCAACCTGGGACACCGGCGCCGTCACCGACATGGAGTCCATGTTTTACGACGCTGTGTCCTTCAATCAAGATTTGCCGTGAGCTGTCGTCCTCCGCCTCTTCTCTCTCTTCACCCGACCCTCTGCACGGACCGCCTCCCCCCCACGGCTGCCCGTATCTCGCGATCCACACCCCTCTTCGAAACCACAGGTGGGACACGTCGAGCGTCGAGACCTTCAAGCAGATGTTTGCACAGGCGGTGGCCTTCAACGGCGACATCTCCACGTGGGACGTCTCTGCCGCCACAACGTTTGAGTCCATGTTTTACGGCGCCGAGAGCTTCAACGGCGACATTACCCCTTCGGCGCACCCCTTGACCCAATCCCGAGCCCGCGAGCGCAGGTGCGACGGACTTCAACCAGGACATCAGCACGTGGGACATGTCCAACGTGCGCACCACGTCCGCCATGTTCTCGGGCGCCTTCGCCTTCAACCAGGACATCAGCACGTGGGACGTACACAACGTCAGGGACATGACCTCGATGTTCTTTGCCTCGCCCTTCAACCAGGACATCACCGGCTGGAACGTCTCCAACGTCGAGTTCATGAATGCCATGTTCGCGTCTTCCAACTTCAACCGCACTGCGTGCGTCTCGGCCGGAGCGGCCCGGCCTCGGCTCTTGACCTCCGCGCACCGCACCGCCTCTGCGCGATAGGTACCCGCTCGAGACGACGGGCGAGTGGGCCGAGCGGCTCAACACGACGGCCGTCGTAAACGCCACTTGCCCGCCGCAGCCGCCCGATGACTTTTGGGTCATCAGCGGCCTCGGAGCCAACCAGCAGCTGTACTGCGGACACTCGTGCTGTCCATTGACCGGTGCTCTGAGACCACCGTAGACCTTTCCCACTCGCCCTCTCCCTGGAGGTGGATTCTTCCGGTTTCTTCCGCCCGCCCGCCCACCACTCCCGTGCCCCTCGTCCCCCTTCGCCGCTCATCACCCTGGTCGCCGCTCACCACCCCGGTCGCTAAACAGGCGACATCTTCGTCGCGGCGGTGGCGGCACCTGCGGTGGCGGCAGGTATTGAGGCGGCGCCGGCGCGTCGTCGGACAGGGCGCCGCCTCGAGGAGGACGAGAGCTCTCCCCCACACAAGCTAGGACACTAGACAGGCCCAGTTTGATGTGGTTAGACGTTAGTTCCCCCCCGCCCCGAGGTGACCTGCACATGCACAACATGTGCATGGACACATCCCCGCCGGCACCCACGCCCCACAGGGGCAAGGGCCTCTCCACACGTCACGACTCCAGGGCTCCCGCACCTCAACTCTCATAGACCAGCGCGCAGCGCCATGCGGAGTTCTTGTCAATACGGCTTTATAGAGCCTTTACATAGACAATACCGAGGTCTGTGAAGAACTCTGTGAACTGATATGCCGACATTGCTTTTTGTATGGGATTTTCCGTCTTGTTCCTCGTTGGGAGCGGGTACCACTTCTAGTGTGTCTGGGAGGGAGGGAGTGGGGTGCAGGCGGTGCTGCTCACCAAAAAAACCCACGACCCACGGCACCGGGCCGGTGCTTGCACTTTGAATGCCGTGTCCCGGGCGTGGAGATGCGAGGGTCGCCCCCCCTTGCCCCACCACTTTGTGTGTGTGGAGACGTTTACCTCTTACCTCACCTTACCTTACATCCACGTCATCCGATCGTCTTACCGGTGGTCCGCGCCACGCATCGCCATGATGCGCCGCGCCACGCGCCGCTCGTCGACCGCCGCCGACTCCGACGATGTCGGAGAGCCCTCGCCGCCGCCGCCGCCGCCGCCGCCGCCGCCGCCGCCGTCGGGACGACGACGCACCATCGTCGGCCGATCCGCCGCAGCCGCCGCCGCCGCCACCGCCGGCTGCGCCGCCGGCTGCGCCGCCGGCTGCGCGCGCAGCGCGAGGCAATAGAGGAAGTCGTCTCGGCAGCCGACCACGACGCGGCCGGTGCAGAGGGCGGCGGAGGAGAAGACGGCGCCCGGCAGCTGCGTGGTGCCGAGGGGCGCACCCGACGCGCAATCGAAGGCGTGGAGGCGGCCGTCGACGCCACCGACGACCGCGACGCGCGCCGCCACGTCATCAGCGGCGACGACGCCGTGCTGCGCGCTCGCTCGGTCGACGGCGGGCGCCGAGTGGCCGTGCACCTACCCGGTGAATTCGCCGACATGAGGGCGGGAGTACGGTGCTGTGCAGCGTACTCAGAGCACCGCGTGAGGACAACGGGTAGGAAGACAGTGCATACAGCTGAACACAGCGGACGACACCCGGATGCGTGTCTCTCGAGTGCTGGTTGGGACACAAGAAACACGTATCCTGCTTCCCGTGCACACCTCAGCCGGCTGCTCCCATCGCAGCGCGCCGTGAACCGCCTCGACGCAGAGCAAACGCCCGCTCTGCGAAGTGACGAGCAGCCGCCGCTCCAGCCCCGCGCCCAGCGACGCGGTGAAGGCGCACGGCGCAGAAAAGATGGGCCCTGCCGCATCAAACGTCCAGAGCGGCGCCCCCTCGGGCGCAACGGCGTACAGCAGCCCGTCCACACACCCAAAGTAGACGGTGCCTGCGGTGTGAGTACGCCGGCACGAGGGCGGGAGGACGGGTGTTCTGCAGCGTACTCAGAGCACCGCGTGAAGACGAGCGGCCCGAATACAGTGAATGAATGCAGCGGAGTATCCCCGACTACAGTTGAGTCCGTGTCCTCCCGAGCGCTGGTTGGGAGAGACATGAACACGTCTTGCGCTTCTTTCTAGTCGACGGCGCCAGACGACGCGTCGAGCGTCGGCGACGAGAAGATCGGCTCGCTCCCGGGCTCGCCTCCGCGCCGCGCCGAGGTGTGAAAGACCCACGCAGACGCAAAGCCGCCGTAGGCCGCGCCGCCGCCGCCGCCGCCGCCGCCGCCGCCGCCGCCGCCGTCGCCGTCGCCGTCGCCTCGCTGCGCGTCTTCAAAGCCGAAGGAGTGCAGCGCGCCGGTGAGGTCGGCCACCTACTTGCTCAATGCGCCAGCCTCGGGGCGGGAAGACGGTCTTGTGCAGCGTCTTCAGAGCACCGCGTGAATGCAACGGAGAGGAGGACAGCGGAATACAGTGGCCCTCTCGGGCGCTAGGAGGAACACAAGAAGACGTATTCCGCTTCTAGGGCCGGCCACGTAGAGCCGCCGACGGCGCATGTCGGCGAGGGGCGAGGCAAAGGCTGGGCCCGCAATCGTGCCGAGCCAGTGTCGGCGGCCTAGAGTGGCCCACACCTCAAATGGATGATCTAGGGTCGGATTGGGTGTGGGTTCAGCCCCGTGGGCGGTGCGGTAGCAGCTGCGCGCCTACGTGCCGAATACGCCAACCTCGGGGCGGGAGATATGGGGAGATATGGGGAGATACGGGCAGCCTACGTGCTGAGTACGCCAACCTCGGGGCGGGAAGGCGGCACGGTGAGGTGTGTTAAGAGCGCCGCGTGGGTACACGGGCTACGAGGACAGAGGCTGAGTACGGCCGACTGCAGCACTGCGACTGCAGTACGGCCGACTGCAGCGGAGTGCGTGTCCTCTCGGGCGGTGGGTGGAGTACCAGAATGCGACCTCCTCTTCTAGGCACGAGATATGGGGAGATATGGGGATATATGGGGAGATATGGGGAGATATGGGGCGAATGCGACCTCCTCTTCTAGGCACGAGATATGGGGAGATATGGGGAGATATGGGGAGATATGGGGAGATATGGGGAGATATGGGGAGATATGGGGAGATATGGGGAGAATGCGGCCTCCTCTTCTACGGGTGACTCGCCGTCGGACAGGCGCAGCGCCGCCACCTTCGCGCCGTAGCAGGCGCACACCACAAGGTCGCCGTCGTCTCTACCACCGCTGCCACCGCCGCCATCGCTGCCACCGCTGCCACCGCCGCCGCCGCTGCCACCGCCGCCGCCGCCGCCGCCGCCGCCGCCGCCCAAGTCTAGCGGCACAAACTGCAGGGCCTCCAGCGTGTGGATGGTCGCCCATTGCACCTCCGCCCACTCGACCTCGCCGCTCACGCGGAGGAGGGAGAGGTGCGCCTGGGGGAGATGGAGAGGGATGGGGAGGGATGGGGAGGGATGGGGAGGGATGGGGAGAGATGGGGAGGGATGGGGAGGGATGGGGAGGGATGGGGAGAGATGGGGAGAGATGGGGAGGGATGGGGAGGGATGGGGAGAGATGGGGAGGGATGGGGAGAGATGGGGAGAGATGGGGAGGGATGGGGAGGGATGGGGAGGGATGGGGAGAGACGGGGAGAGATGGGGAGAGATGGGGAGGGATGGGGAGGGATGGGGAGAGGTGGGGAGGGATGGGGAGGGATGGGGAGAGATGGGGAGAGGTGGGGAGAGATGGGGAGGGATGGGGAGAGGTGGGGAGGGATGGGGAGGGATGGGGAGAGATGGGGAGAGGTGGGGAGAGATGGGGAGGGGTGGGGAGGGCTGCGTCGAGATCTGGGGAGATACGGAGAGTTACGGGGAGATACGGGGAGATAGCTACGCAGAGATATCCCGGCATCTACGGGCGCGTGCGTGCGGCGGGCAGGATGACGAGGAGTGGCGGGACGGGCATCCGAGCCGAGTCCCGCAGCCGACGCGCTCGCCGACCTGCGGTGTGAGTACGCCGGCAGGAGGGCGTGGAGGCGGGAGAGTGCCACGGTGTCTTCAGAGCACCGCGTGAGTCCGTGAAGACGTGTGTTGCTTCTACGGCTCTCCGGCCTTCACGGCGCCGTCGAGCTCGAGGTGGGCGTAGAGCCAGCACCAGCCACCGCCGTCCGTCGCCACCGCCGCCGTGCGGCCGAGGTAGTCTGGAAGCACTCCCACGACCACGCCCGGCTCGACGGGGTAGATCTCGACCAATCTCCCCTCGATCTCGGGCACGAGATCAATCCCTTCGTGCGGCGCCCGCCTCGCCCGCCTCGCGCCCCACCACGCGCGCACCGCGCCAAACTCCATCCCCGCCTCGCGACGCAGCGGCGCGCCCGCCGCCGTCTCGAGTCGCCTCAGCCACTCTCGCAAGCGCCGCGCCGGGCCGCCACCGCCGCCGCCACCGCCACCGCCACCGCCGCCGCCGCCGCCGCCGCCGCCGCCGCCGCCGCCGCCGCCGCCGCCGCCGCCGCCGCCACCGCCACCGCCGCCGCCGCCGCCGCCGCCGGCAGCGGCAGCGGCCGGCGCGGGCAGGCAGCACGCGCTCGCCTTGATCTGGCCGTGCGCGTGGTACGCCCACAACTGTGCGCCGCTGTGCGCGCACAGCGCGTAGAGGCTTGCGTCGTGGCAGCCGACGAGGACAACGTCCCCGCGGGGGGAGATGGCGCAGCTCGCCTCGAGGTACGGGGAGGGATGGGGAGGGGTGGGGCGAGATGGCGCAGCTCGCCTCGAGGTACGGGGAGGGATGGGGAGGGGTGGGGCGAGATGGCGCAGCTCGCCTCGAGATACGGGGAGGGATGGGGAGGGGTGGGGCGAGATGGCGCAGCTCGCCTCGAGACGATCCGGCAGCTGCGCCGACCAGAGAACGGCGCCGCTGCACAGATCGAGAGCCTGCAACGGCGAGAAGCGACGAGATCTGGGGAGAGATGGGGGAGAGATGGGGAGATTTGGGGAGATATGGGGCGAGGTCGAGAGCCTGCAGCAGCCCGGCGTGGGAGCCGACAAAGGCGGTCACGCTGTGTCGTTGGGGGTCGCCGCTGACGCGGCACGCTAGCACGGGTGATGCGTCGACGCACTTGCCCATGTCGGCACGCCTGCCCACGGCTCCTCGGTGTGAACAGACGTCTGTTCACAGCTCGACGACGCACTTGCCCATGTCGGCACGCCTGCCCACGGCTCCTCGGTGTGAACAGACGTCTGTTCACAGCTCGACGACGCGCGTTCCCAGGTCGGAGCGCCACGCGAGCTGCCAGCTGCACGGCTATCTCCCCACATCTCCCCACATCTCCCCATATCTCGCGCCACGCGAGCTGCCAGCTGCACGGCGATCTCCCCACATCTCCCCACATCTCCCCATATCTCGCGCCACGCGAGCTGCCAGCTGCACGGCTATCTCCCCACATCTCCCCACATCTCCCCATATCTCGCGCCACGCGAGCTGCCAGGCGCACGCCGGAAGAAGAAGCGGCGGCGGCGGTAGCGGCGGTGGTTCCATGGCTCGCGGCGCGGAGCGGCTCGAAGCGGGGGGCGGCACGGCCTCGGAGAGATGCGCGGCGCGGCCGAGGCTCCACACGTGCGACCCCGCGCGCGGCTCGCCTGCCGCCTGCGGCCGCAGCTCCATCGCACCGCCGAGCAGCGGCGGCGTCGCCTCATCGTACGGCGCCGGCTCGCCGGGCCCGCTCTCCCCGCGCTCCCCCGTCTTTCCCGCGGCAGCCACGTGCAGCCGGCTGGCGAGCGGTGTCCGAGCCCCCGCCGTGGCTCCACCCTCGCCCTCGTCCTCGCCCTCCCCCGATGCGTGTGCCGCCTTGGCTCCCTCGCCTTGGCCGCCGCCAGCTGCGCCAGCTCCGCCGAGGCGACTCATGGCACTCGCCGCGCTCGCCACCGTCGCATCGCGTCGCATCAGTGCCTCGGGTGGCAAATGCCACCCCTGCCGGCGCAGCTCAAAGCTCAGGCGCGCCGCGAGGACCGAGCTGCCTCCGCTCTCGACGAAGCGAGACGCCGCCGGCAGCCCATCGGCGACGCCAAGCAAACGACCCATCTCAGCAGACAGCAGCCTCACCCGACCGTCCTCCACGGCTTCGCCACTGCTGCCGCCGCCGCCGTCCGCACTGGCCGCGTCGGGGTATGGCGCACCATGCGTGAGCAGCAGCCGCACCAGCTGGGGAGCCACCCGCTGGAGCCCCAGCCGGTCAGGCTTCCCGCTACGAAGGCACGGCAGCGAATCGACCACCACAAACGCCGACGGCACCATCCACGCCGGCAGCCTTGCCTCGCCCCACCGCCGCAGCGGCGCCGAAAGCCGCCGGCTCGCGCCGACGAGCACGCTGACCGAGGGAGTGTCTCGGAAGCGTCTCGGGAGTGTCTCGGAAGTGTCGAGCACGCCGACCGCGTTGGCGCTCGCACTCGGCTCGCCGCCGCCGCCGCCGCTGCGGACGGCCGCTCGCAGGACCACGCACAAGGCGAGCCCGTCGGCACTTCGCAAGCCGCCGCCGTCGCGGCCGGTCGCATCGTCGGAGACGAGTAGCGGCACCGCCAGCGCGTGAGCGGCGGCGTCGGTGGCGAGCGCGAAGCCCTCATACACCGCCTCCACCTCTCTCGGCTCGAGGCGCGCGCCGCGGAGCTGCAGCTGGCGGTCGGCCCGGCCAAGAAAGCACAGCTCGCCTCGCGAGCCCCACCGGCCGAGGTCACCCGTGCGAAAGACCCGCCTTGTCGTGGCGGCCACCGCGGCAGCAGGCGCGCCTGACGCAGCGGCAACAGACGCAGTTGCGCGCCCGCTCGGACGCAGACGCAGCTGCGCGAACTTGGCAGCGGCAAGGCGCGGCCGGTGCAGGTACCCCAACGCCACCACCTCGCCGCCCACACCGATCTCGCCAACCTCGCCCGCGGCGCATTCCTCGGCAACCGAGGGCACAGGCTCTCCTCCTCCGCCGCCGCCGTCGCCGCCGCCGCCGTCGCCACCGCCGCCGTCGCCACCGCCGCCGTCGCCACCGCCGCCGTCGCCGTCGGCCTCGGCCGGGGCAGCCCGCAGCAGCCAGACGTGTGCTCCGCGAATTGGAGCACCGAGCGGACAGATGCCAACGCCGATGCCACCTCCACCCCCTCCTCCGTCGCTGCTGCCACGCGCCATTGCGGCGGTCACGTCGAAGGCGGTGGCGTCTGCGGAAGTCTCAGTACAGCCGTACAGGTTGAGCAGGCGCACGTGCGGCAGCAGCGCAGCGGCGCGCACACAGAGGGCCCAAGGCAGAGCGTCGCCGCTCACACTCAGCACACGCAAGCTCGGCAGAAGATTCCGAGAAGGCTCCGAGAAGGCTCGAGAAGGCTCCGAGAAGGGTCGCGCGACACGCACGCTCGGCGGCGGCGGCGGCGGCGCGGGTGGCGTGGAGGGTGTGCCACCGTCGCACGCCTCGCAAGCGTCCAGCAGCATGCGAAGCGCCGACGGCACGAGGACGAGGCGCGAGGCGCGCCACTCGCGCAGCACCGGCAGCAGCGCGTGAGGGCGCGACGCCGCGTCCGACGGCAACAGAAGCAACGGCATGCCCTTTGCAAGTGGCCCCACCATCTCCCAGAGCGAGTCGACGAAGCCGAGCGGCGTCTTGGCGACGCACACCTCGTCGGGCGCAAACGGGTACGCCTCCCACATCCAGCTGCAGCGCGCCTGCGTGTCGATTGAGTACACTTACTTGCGATTAGGTAACGGGGTGCCACAGCCAGCGCGCGCCTCGAGGCCCGCGCGGCTGCCAAGCACGCCCTTCGACTCGCCCGTCGAGCCGGAGGTGTAGAGCAGGTAGCAGCAGCCTGCCATCAGCCGACGGCAGCCGCCGGCGGAGTGCGCGCTGCCGGTCGTCGACCTGGTCGTGCTCTCGCCCTCGGGCAAGGTCCTCCCATTTTCGGCGAGGTTGCTCGACGCGGCACCGAGCAGCCGGCCCGACTCAAGCTGCACCCGCGGCACGCCGACGGTGTGCAGTCGGCTGGTGGCGGCCTCGCACGCCGCCGCCACCAGCAGCGCCGCCGGCCGCGCGTCCTCCACCACGCACGCAAGACGGCTCTCCGGGTCGGTCGGGTCGAGAGGGAGGTAGACTCCGCCCGCTCGCCAGATGGCGAAGACGCCGCAGACCTGCTCGGCGCTGCGCTCGGAGAGGAGGCCGACCACGGCCTGCCTCGGCGACGCGTGCCGCTGCAGCGCATCCGCGAGCAGCGAGGTGTGTCTCCTCAGCCAATCGAAGGTGAGAGAGCGGGCCGCCGGCGCCGTGGCGTCGATGAGAGCCGTGCCGCTGTGCCGCTGATCGCAGACGCCGTCCATCGCAGGGAGATTGGAATGCGGCACTAGCACAGGTACACCACGGGAGCCGCCTAAGCGACTCCCGTGAGGACGGCGAGGCACTTAGCTCCGTGCATCCGCCCACCCCCGCCACATTCCTGTATACACATGGGAATATTTATTCTAGTCGTGTCCGCTCCGAACGTGTGTATGCACAACAGTCATGGCGCTGTCCTCTCAGGAGACGCCATGAGTGGGTAGAGAGGAGCAACCGCACGTGAGTGCCCTGTTCGAGTGCGCGAGATCTCCTGAGATCTCCCAAAGATTTCCGCTTCGGAATTCTTTCTCGAACAGCCACCCTTCCCGCACGGTGGTGCTCCCCTGGCCAGGTTCCGTGATGGTCCCTGGCTGTGACGAGGAAGGGGCAGGAACCCTCCCGACGCGACTCAAGGATCCGACCAAGCTGAGACCGCGAGGACGGCGTGTACATCCGTCACTACAATGGTCTCGCAAGGAAGTTCACATGAGATTTTCCCCTGCGCAATCATTGCTGCCCCACCTCACCACGTCATCCCATGCTCCCAACGCGAGCAGTGGCGGGCGGGCGGGCGCGAGCGGTGCCATGATACACGCGCGCACCATCGCGGTGCGCGCGATTCCGGAGAGTGAAACGTCTAACTTGCTGACGTCCTTCACAGTCCGTCTCCCAATTTATGCGGCCCAGCTCCGGCCGAATAAATATTCCGTCCTTTGTTCGCGTGCGCTCACGCGGTGGAGAATATTTATTCTAGTCGTGTCCGCTCCGAACGTGTGTATGCACAACAGTCATGGCGCTGTCCTCTCAGGAGACGCCATGAGTGGGTAGAGAGGAGCAACCGCACGTGAGTGCCCTGTTCGAGTGCGCGAGATCTCCTGAGATCTCCCAAAGATTTCCGCTTCGGAATTCTTTCTCGAACAGCCACCCACACCCTAAACGCGTGTTACCGAAGTGGCTCCCCCACCCCAAAACGAGGGTCTGGGCGCGGCGCCCACGACCCTCCCAAGACGCTGGCAGCATGCCTGCAACCCGAGCGCCACACTGGCGCTCCGCCACAAGGTCACACGCCCTCACGTCCCGGCCTAGACCTCTTCCTCTAGGTCTATGTCGGCGACATCCCCCTCCCCTCCCTCTTTCCGCCCGAAGAGGAAGGCGAACCTCGGAGGCTCCACAGTCTTAGGAGGCATGAAACCCCTCCAGTCCCGGAAGAGGAAGTCGCACGACCCCGCAGTCCGTCCGACCAGCCTCGTTGCTACGCTCGCACGCAACGCCTCCGCGCCTCGCTAGGGCTCACCGTGCCGCTCTAGCGCGCCCCTCAGCCGCGCAGGCACCCTCTCGAGTGCCCTCTGCTCGAGTGCCCTCGGGGCGCTGCATCGCCCGCGACATGCCTCCTCGTGGCGCGCGACACAAACCAGAGGCAGCTGCTCCAGCCGATCGAGCGCAACGCTCTACTCCGCCGCGCTGAGCGACCACTCAGCTCCCCACACATTAACTGGCCGACTTTGCGAGGCGCTCCGCGCCTCCTCCAGACGCACCGCACGCCCCCGCGTGGCGTGCCATTGGCGAGAAGGCCGCCTGCAGCCGCAGCCGCCTCGCCGCCTCCTACACGAGCATGCCTCTTCTTGGCATACTCGGACATTCATGGTGACCGCCCGCTCGAGCGCGCCCCACGCCTTGCTAGGGCTCACCGTGCCGCTCTAGCGCGCCCCTCGGCCGCGCAGACACCCTCTCAAGTGCCCTCGGGGCGCTTCGTTGCTCGCGACCTGCCGCCGTGTGGCGCGCGACGCAAACCAGAGGCAGCTGCTCGAGTCGCTCTAGCACGACACTCTACTTTCGCTGTGTCGAGCGGCCTCTCGAGGCGCCACACATGCGCTCGCCGCCTTCGCGAGGCGCCCTGCGCGTCCTCCATACGCACCGCACGCCCCGGCGACACTCTACTTTCGCTGTGTCGAGCGGCCTCTCGAGGCGCCACACATGCGCTCGCCGCCTTCGCGAGGCGCCCTGCGCGTCCTCCATACGCACCGCACGCCCCGGCGCGGCGTGCCTTTGGCGAGACGGCCGCCCGCAGCCGCAGCCGCCACGCCGCCTCCTATACACGGGCACGCCTCTGTCTTCTTGGCATACCGATTCATAGCGGCCGCCCGCTCGAGCGCGCCCCAGTCTCGCTAGGGCTCATTGCTAGCGCCGGCTGACGTTGCGAGGCGCCTTGCGCCTCCTCCAGACGCACCGCACGCCCCCGCGTGGCGTGCCTTTGGCGAGACGGCCGCCTGCAGCCGCAGCCCCCTCGCCGCCTCTCACACTCGCATGCCTCGTCTCGGCATGCTCAGAGTTCATAGCGGCCGCCCGCTCGAGCGCGCCCCGCGCCTTGCTAGGGCTCACCGTGCCGCTCTAGTACGCCCCTCAGCCACGCAGACACCCTCTCAAGCGCCCTCGGGGCGCTTTATTGCTCGCGACTTGCCGCCGTGTGGCGCGCGACGCAAACCAGAGGCAGCTGGCTGCTCGAGGCGATCGAGCACGACGCTCCACTTAATCCAGAGCGAGCTCTCCCGCGCGCCATACATGCGCTCGCCGCCTTTGCGAGGCACCCTGCGCCTCTTCTAGACGCCCCGCACGCCTCCGCGTGGCGTGTCTTTGGCGAGAAGGCCGCCCGCAGCCGCAGCCGCCTCGCCGCCTCTTACACGAGCATGTCTCTTCTTGGCATACTCAGCGATTCGTAGCGGCGGCCCGCGCGAGCGCGCCCCGCGTCTCGCTGGGGCTCACCGTGCCGCTCCAGCGCGCCCCTCAGCCACGCAGACACCCTCTCAAGTGCCCTCGGGGCGCTTCGTTGCTCGCGACCTGCCGCCGTGTGGCGCGCGACGCAAACCAGAGGCAGCTGCTCGAGTCTATCGAGCGCGACCCCCTACTCCGCCGCGCTGAGCGGCCCCTCGGCGCGCCACACATGCGCTCGCCGCCTTCGCGAGGGCCCTGTGCCTCCTCCATACGCACCGCACGCCCCGCGTGGCGTGCCATTGGCGAGACGGTCGCCTGCAGCCGCAGCCCCCTCGCCGCCTCTTACACGAGCATGCCTCGTCTCGGCATGCTCAGAGTTCATAGCGGCCGCCCGCTCGAGCGCGCCCCGCGCCTTGCTAGGGCTCACCGTGCCGCGCTAGCGTGCCCCTCAGCCACGCAGACACCCTCTCCAGTGCCCTCGGGGCGCTTAATTGCTCGCGACTTGCCGCCGTGTGGCACGCGACGCAAACCAGAGGCAGCTGCTCGAGTCTATCGAGCGCAACGCTCTACTCCGCCGCGCTGAGCGGCCCCTCGGCGCGTCTCACATGCGCTCGCCGCCTTCGCGAGGCGCTCCGCGTCTCCCCCATACGCACCGCACGCCCCGCGTGGCGTGCCATTGGCGAGACGGCCGCCTGCAGCCGCAGCCCCCTCGCCGCCTCTTACACGAGCATGCCTCGTCTCGGCATGCTCAGAGTTCATAGCGGCCGCCCGCTCGAGCGCGCCCCGCGCCTTGCTAGGGCTCACCGTGCCGCGCTAGCGTGCCCCTCAGCCACGCGGATACCCTTTCCAGTGCCCTCGGGGCGCTTAATTGCTCGCGACTTGCCGCCGTATGCGGCACGCGACGCAAACCAGAGGCAGCTGCTCGAGTCTATCGAGCGCGACCCCCTACTCCGCCGTGCTGAGCGGCACCCCGGCGCGCCATACATGCGCTGGCCGCCTTCGCCAGGCGCCCTGCTACTCAGACATTCAAGCGGCCGCCCGCTCGAGAGCGCGCCCCGCACCTTGCTAGGGCTCAACGGGCCGCTCTACTGTAGCGCGCCCCTCGTACGAGCCTCGAGCTACTCGCTCGACTTTCCCCTGAGCAGTGAGTTCTGAGTAACACGAGAGCCTCACCTTCACGCTCCCTGCTCCACACAGCAGGTCACGAGAGCTCTCGCCCTCCACGCTCACTGCTCTACAGCACGGGTCACGAGAGCTCACCTCTCTCCAGAGCTGGACGCGAGAGCTCGCCCCCTACACTCACTGCTCTCCTCAGCAGATCACGAGAGCTCGCCCTCCCAGCTCACTGCCCCACAGCAGATCAGAGCTCGCCTCCCTATACACTCACTGCTACACAGCAGATCAAGAGAGCTCGCGCCCTCGGCTCACGCTGCTTCACGGCAGATCACGAGAGCTCTCACCCTCTCAGCACTCTTTGCTTCACGTTCACGAGAGCTCGCCTTCAGCACTCTCACTGCCTCACAGCAGACCTCAGCACTCACTGCTCAACAGCAGATCAGAGCTCACCTCTCCCCGCTCACTGCTCCCCTGCAGATTACGAGAGCTCGCCCTCCACTGTGTCACTGCTTAGCAGCAGATTACGAAAGCTCGTCCTCGACTCGTTCGAGGCGGACCCGAGCTTTGGGCAGGAGTGAGCGCTCGCGCACGCAACGGGACAGCGTCATGGACTACGAGCTCGTTTGTGCGAGATGGCGGTGCAGGCGTTGCCCAGCCCGCATAAGTCATAACCGCCTGTAAAGCCGTAAAGCCGTAAAGCCGACGATTCTTCGAGCTCTAGATCCAGGGCGCGGACCCAGGCCAGACCCGGCTAGCTAGGACAACCTACTATGAGAGCTAGGTTGGGGACGTGCGCGGTCTCTCGCGTGTTTTTATTAGCATTTAGTTTTTTTTTGTGAGTGTGTATGGTGTGTCGTATCGCTCGATGTGTCGCTGTCGGGCGTCGTCTCGCGGGGAGTACGTGAGTAATGGAGGGCACAGAGGCGCGGGGAGGAAAAAAAGTAATATATCTTTACTTCCAAAACCCGGACGTGCCTCCACCGGCACGCCGCTTCCGACAGGGTGATGGAAGGTTCGACGCACCCCCGGACTGGGAAGAGAGGTCCCAGGAAACAAAGGCCTGGGCACTCCGCCCCGCCCCCACTTGCCCTGACTGCACAGGATAGCGTGCCCCGACAAACGGCGACACATAGCGGGGGACACTGCGCCGGGGGGTATGCCTAACTTTGGTGCTTTGTGTGGGTCGCGTTCCCTTGGTAGCTGTGTGGTTGAAGCCCTCGTGCCGCTGGCTTGCCCCTTCCAGCGGCTGGCCCCTCGAGACTGTCGGTGCTTGGCGGGAGGAGGGGGAGAGGGAGGCCCGGTGGGAGGAGAGGGAGAGGGAGGCCCGGTGGGAGGGGAGGGAGAGGGAGGCCATCTTGGGCTCTTCTCCTCCCCCCTCCCTGGGCTCTTCTCCTCTCCCCACCCTGGGCTCTTCTCCCCTCCTCCCTGGTACTCTCGGCCTGATTACCGGAGCGACTGCCGGAGCAGACGCTGGGGGGACACTCGCGCCCGGAGGCGGTACGCACGACCCGGAGGCGTGGGGATGGGGGGGGGCCGCGCCGCCGCCGCCGTGCCGCCTTCTCCCGCTTTGACCTCCCCCAGCTGCTTCTCCTCAAATCAACCTGTGAGCTTGCGAGGCGGCGGGGGTGGGAGTGCTCTCGGGCGGCGTGTGCGAGCGCGCGCGGCGCGAGATCTCTTTCGCGAGGGCACGGTGGGTCGGGTGAGTATCTCGCGCGCTCGCACTATTTCACGTTATATCAAGCACTGCCTTTGATGCCTTTGCAAGAACCGCCAGCGGCGGTGGTCGAACCGGTTCGCGGTTCGAGCCGGGACCTTTTGGCTCCCGGTTCGGAACTCGCTTGGAGGGTTGCTTCGCTCTCGCGGAGCGAGCGCGGGCGCGTGGGTGCGTGTGCGCGTGCGCTGCTGCAAGGCGAGGCGAGGCGAGGCGCGGGGCGGCGCGGCGCGGTGAGGCGGGCGGCGGCGGCGCGCGGTCGTTCTTTTTGCCCGGGTGAGGCGTGGCTTGCGCGCCGCGTGGTGATGACGCAGCACGCTGAATGAAAAGTCCTTGGTGAGCCACCGCGGTGGCAGCGAGCCAAAAGAAGCCACCTGCCGCATGACGGGTTCTGAGGCGCGGGGAGAAGACCTTCCCGAATGGAACCTTAGCCACACACACAAGACACACAGGATGTAGCTCGACGTGTACCATGAGCAACCCATATCCCCATCCCCCGTCCGATGGCAGTGCCAAAACCTACGTCCGCAACCCTGAGAGCGCGCTCGAGACTGTGCTCTACACCACACCTGCCTCACACGGCTCACGGGCGGGGGCGTATCGAAGGCACGGCGGTAGGGCTGACGGAGGTCTCAAGCCAGCAGTGTAGTTTGGCAGCCGTCTCAGTAGTCGAGATGAGGGGGGGGGGGGGGGGGAAGTCTGCTCACGAGCTCGCCTCAATCTCCGGCTCTGCTCTCCGAGATCGCGCGAGATCACGCGAGCTGGTCGAGCAGCGCGTTGCGCATGTCGGTGGCCACGGCCGCCGGCTGCGCCTCTTGCAGCTTGAAGATGGACTCGACGACCTGCATCTCGGTGGCGGTCGTGTCGAGGCCGCAAAACGCGCACCAGTCGTTGACGACCATGCCGGCGCCAATCACGTCCGAGCCGCGGTTCAAGGTCCCGGCGACCACGGGCAGCTGCAGCAGCGCGGACAACTCGTCCTGGTCCTCGACGGGTGTCTTTGGGTGGACAAGGCAGCCGTTGTTGGACATGCACGCATACGACCCGACCAGCGCGTTGCCGGCGACAGTTTGCCGGAAGACCTCCACGCCCAGCACGTCCGCGATGATCTCCTCCGTCTCGCGGTCGAGCTCTGTGTGGATGAGCGCGCAGTGGTCGTTGCACGCGACAACGTTGCCCAGCGCCGACAGCCGCTCCTCCACGCGCTGGATCAGGACCCCCTCGGGCAGCGAGTTGCGGAGATGGAGCAGCTCCTGGTCCGTCGTGGTGCTCGGAACGACCAGCCCGTTCTTGTTGCCCACGACGACACGGCCGACGATGCGCGTCCCAGCGATGGAGGTTTGCACCACCTGAGTGCATGACGCCGGCTCAGCGAACCGCGGCCCTTCCGATGACGGCGGGCTGGACGCGGCACCGGAATGTGCTCCGCGAGCTCCTGCTCAAAGACAGAGTAGAAGTTCTGGCTGCCGCCGATGGCGGTGAGGCAGTAGGCGTTGGTCAGCTTCGCGAAGACGCCAATGTCGCTGGAGCTCTCGTATCCGGCGCGCTGCGCCATGTCCGCTGGCTGTCCGCGTACTGTCCTCTCGCCCGGCGAAAAAAGAATTCTGATCCCTCTGGCAGCCGCCCCGTTGGCTAGTGTCTTGTCTTGTGGTTCTGTGTGTCGCTCCTGTGTGACCGTCATCTCCCGTCCTGCGTCCACCCATACCGCGTTGGTGTCCCAGTCGTTGGTCGGACTGTGTGTCAATCCTCTCTCACAGCACACTGGCACGACAAGGGCGCGGACTGGCGCGGACTGGCACACACACCGGCTCAGAAATAAGCCGGGGTGTGTATCACAAAAATACTCACTCACACACGTGACGTATACAGCCCCTCCGTGTTCCGTCTTATGCAGACGCCAATAAGCCCTGCTCTAGAGGGAATTTTTCACAATATCGCAACCGCGATACCGCGCGATATTTGGCGATAAAATGCGATAAATGGCGATGTTGTGCGATGCTCGCGATCACGCGAGCCCTTCACAGCACGCCTCAGCGACGCGCGTGAAGCGTTACAAAGGGACGGGCGCCGTCGCTTCGTCCTGGCGCTTCGCTCGCTCCGCTCGCGTTGCGCAGCTGGATCTGGCTGGCTACACACATGAGCAGCGACAGCAGCGACCACGGCAATAGTCAGAAGAAGAAGAAGCGCGGTCCCGGCACAAGCGCGCGGCGACAGCACTACCGCCCGCAGAACCGTCGCCCACACCACAGCCGGCGCCGTGGCGGTCCACACAGTTCCAACTCGTCGACGGCGTGAACCGCAACCGTGCTGGACAACAGGAGGTCGACGGCACTATCATGCTATATGGGGACGTCGGCGGCCACATGTGCAGCTTTGCCCAGCTGACCGACTACTCGCGCGAGACTTTCAGAATTGACCGGGAGATTCTCTTCATCTTCAAGACCGGGGTGCACACCAGCCGTCCAGCCGCTCTCACCCCGTCACAGCTCTCACGTCCCACGTGTGCCGCACGTCGTCGTCAGCTCGAGCGAGCTGGAGACGGGCTGGAGCAGTGCCAATAAGCTCACCTACACGCTGCCCGACGAGCTCATCACGCGGCTGGATGGGCTTGCAGAGGAGGCGGCCAATGAGTCGGAGGACGGCGGTGATGACGGTGTGGCCAGCGAGGCAGAGGGCGACGGTGACGAGGGCGGTGAGGAGGAGGGAGGCGTGTCGGGAGGTGAGGCGGGAGGCGAGGATGAAGGCCCATCCACAGCCCCGCCCCCACGCGATCGCAACGCGGTGCGTGAGCGCCGTGAAGAGGCGCGCGGGCGACAGCTTGCCGAGCAGCAGGCGCGGCGCGACAGGATTTTGGAAGGACGATCAGGGGGACAGGTGGGGCTCTCCTGCTCCTGACAAGGGACACGACAGGCTCGCAGCGCGGTGCACGGTGGGCTCCCAACTCCACTGGCGGTCTCATCTCAGTCTAGCGACCTGCCTTCTTCTCGCTGGCAGTCTCTCACTACCACAGGCACACTGACACAGGGGTGGCAGGGGCAGAAATTTCCCATTTTCTGTTTTTCTTCTTTCTCGCGGCATGAGCGGCGCAGCGAGCCCAGCCCTGCTGCCTGAGCTGGCGGTGGGCGACCTGGCCGCGCTGCGCGCCCACCTCTCCGGGCGGCGGACGCGCGGCAGGCTCGACGCGCGGCTCGACACCGACACGCAGGACACGCTGCTGACCTGGGCCGCTCGCCACGGGCAGGCCGAGGCGGTGCGGCTGCTGCTCGAAGCTGGAGCGAGCGTTGGGGCGACGAACGGCCGCGGTGATTCCGCTCTCCTCGTTGCGTGCGGGAAGGGATGCCTCGAGGTCGCCCGGCTGCTGCGCGACGCCAGCGCGGCCATCAACCAAGCCGCGGAGGACAGCACCACGCCGCTGCTCGTGGCGTGCCATAAGGGCCACGTCGACATCGTCCGGCTGCTCCTCGAGGCCAGCGCGGCGATCG